ATTTTTGGGAGCTATGAACACGGGAAGATCTTTACTGCTTAAATCTAATATGGATAATGTAAATCTAAAGTTTTCAATTTACATTTCTCTCTGTTTTTTTTAACTTAGAACTCAACCTATTTTACAAGGAGGAGCATCAGGAGGAGTCTGGGATACCATTAAATCAAGAGGTTGTTGGCCATCAATTTCTTTTTTTCCCTATATAACTGAAAGCATCTTTAAGTTGCTTTGGGGTTTAGATTAATCTCTGTTAAACTAAATGAGTTAAGGTTAAAACCCTCTCAACAAATGTATTTTTTAAGATTCAAACTTGTGTTCTCTTCCTTTTATTTTTTAAGCATCCACCATTTTCTTTTCCATGCCGGGACAATCTTTTCACATTTTTTTTAAAATCTTATCTTTTGCCTTCTATTTGTTTTTGTTTTAATATCCATATATAAATGTATTTACTTGATGTTTATATATATATATATATATATTATCTAAAATTGGTCGTTGGTTATTTAATAACAAAAATTGAAAAAAAAATCCCATTAAAAAAATTTTCGGTAAAAAGAATCTGATAAATTTTTATAAACAAAAAATAATAATTTTACAAATTCTATACGTAGAACTGGCCAATAAAAGGAAATGTACCTGCCAGTTTTATGTTGAGCACTTGAGCCATATTTTTAATTCATGAAATGTAACTAAAAAATATTTTTGTCAGAAAAAAGAACATAATTTTAGCCAACAAAATTAGGAAAAAAATGTAATCGACAATCAAGATAATAGCAAATATCCTTCGACATGAAATGACAAAATTGGAATGGAAAAGTTTAGCTGTCCACTTTCTCGTTTTTGATAATCTTTTAATTAAAAAAACCTTGATAAAGATACTTTCTGAGTCTCAAATAAAATAAAATATTTAAAAGTTATAATAAAAGTTTAATCAATCACCTGTTATCAGTCGAAAAAAGTGTACCCATACATTAATGACACACTCTGACGAATATTAACCTTCCCATATTCATGTAATAGTAAGCCATGACTCACGCATGCCAAGTGTTGTTTTTCTTGTTATGTATTTAATTAATTGATTAACGTCGAAACATAATAGTATAACTTTGATACTTCCTAATTATTCTTTACAGAACTTATTAGTTCATAATATAATAAGGTGCATGATTACAGTTCCTTTTCTCTTTTTTTTGCTAACAAACATTCGTACACATTGACCGGCACACAATATTAATAACTGTGAAGGGTAATTCAGTGTGATTACCCTAATTTCTAATGCAATGATTTGTTTTCTTTTTAACTGAGCAAAAGAAATCTGTGAGAAGCAGATTCCAAATGGAAAGAGATGTGCAATAATGCGATGGTTTTGTCTGTGGTCTTGAAACGGATAGAACATGATAGAAATATTTAGTATAATTAATGAGGATAATATTAAAAATGATTTTAATTTTATGATTGCTTAATACTTAAACTAGGATTGAACCATTTTTTTGTAAGTGTAAATTCATTGAAAGTACGTAGCTTATAATTACTATAGGAGAGAGTGCCAGTTTTTCTATAAACTGTCTTTGATATTCTTGATCAGAGTATTAAGTGGTTTCTGAAATGACAGTTTTTATATTTTAATTTACAATAAAAATGTATGTAGTTTTTTTGGCCAACACAATTAAGGGTCTGTTTGGATTAGCGATTGAAAAAATAGCTTATTGTGAATTTGATTTTTAAAAAAGTTAGATTGGGTAAAAGTTAAATTGGGTGATATGAATTGTGCTTGGATTGGATTTTATAAAAGTTAGTTTGTAAAAGTTAGATTGAATAAAAGTAAGTTTAGTTTGTAAAATTACCAAAATAGGTATAAGTTTTAATAAATAATGAAACATGATAAAAAAAATTTAGATAATACAATGAATTTAAATTATTTTAAAATGAAGAAGTAAAATTTAATGACTGAAATATATTTTAAAACATTAGAGATATCATAAAAATTATTGGGATTTTAAAGTGAAACATAATTTTAATGGATAAAATATTTTTAAATTTAAATTTATGAGAGAGAGAGAATACAAATAATAATGAAATATTAGGTGTGGAGGAGAGGAGAATGAGAGCCTTTGGAATCTGAATCTAGGAGCATGAGAGAAAGAGAATTAAAATAATGAGAGAAAGAGAGAGAGAAATTGAGAGTTTCTGACGCCAATAATAATGAAATTAACCGTTACAAGTATGGTGAGGGCACAGGAAAAGCTACTCTTGTTAGCTTTTACAAAACGTGCAATTAAGGGTAATTTTTAGGTATAAGTAAGATAGCCCAACAGCTTAAATAAATAGGTTCTTAATTTTTAAACGGGCTTATGATAAATTATAAGTTACATATGAATGTCCAGCCAAATAGACTAAAACACATGTATGAATGGATATATTCATTCTCCGTTTTCTTTGACTTACCCTTTAATGGAGTCAAGTCAGTCCCACGTAATGCAGCTAGCTAGTTGCTGACGCAAGGCGCAGATCTGATTTTATTTATAGATTATTTTTAACATATTTAATCAAAAGTAACCAAACAAAAATCTTAATAACTTTATTTTAAAATTTAGTCACATTTCAATTTTACTCCTAATTACCGGAGTATACATTTTCCCAAAAAAAAAAAACAGTTTATATAATAAACAAAGGATAACTTATTACATTTATATGAAAAATTTAACGATGTGATTTATAAATAGGATTTTAAAAAAAACTTCTTTCTTCCACTTCTAAATAAAATCAGATGAGTATCTAATAAACAAAAGGTACCTTTTCTTTATTTAAGCTAATTTTTTACATTGTGTTTTTGTTTAATGTTGGTTTTGTTTTGTTTTTTTCCCCCCTGAACTTATTAGTTCTTTGGCTTCTCAAAGGATGATTTGAACAAGATTAAAGCTGAAAACTTTGTTAAATTTCATACATCAAATTTCTCTGATACTCCCTCTTGTTTCTTTCACAGGACATTTTTCAGAAGGAATAAGTTATCTTTGATTATAAGTTATCAAGTGGAGTATTAATTACATTTTTTCAGGATTGTCTCCATTTAAAATTTAAGGCCATTTTTTGTGCTTTTGAAAATGTATTAATTTTTTATAAGATATAATTAAATGAGAAAAGTTGTAAGAAAATTATTTTCAAACAAAAATAATAACTTAACCGCTATTCGGTTATAGCAAGGTAACAAATGTATGAATGGATCTTTTCATTCTCATTTTATTTGATTTATTCTGTAATGGAGTCATCAATCCCACGTAATGCAACTAGCTTGTTGCTGACGCAAGGGAAGGCGCCACGTTTTTCTTCCAACAATAATTTAATAACTAGCTAGCTTGAGCTTCAAAAAGATTGAAGGGAGTAAAGGCAAAAAATATCATATATTCCCTTTTATGTAAGATAACCCTTCTCACTATGCCCTTTTTTTTTTCAGCCAACGCAATATGCCCTTTTCTAATACTGGTTTATATTTTTCAAATTCAGTTCTTTGAGGATGGATTTAATATATATATATATATATATATATGAGTAAAATTGAAAACTTTGTTAATTTCATTACTACAGAAATGGGATTATTTGACGGTTATTTTTTTATCATATTTGACGTTTCTGAACTGTCCAATAAGATGGTGTCATATAAGGTCTGAGTGAATATTTAATGGTTATGAATTGTCAAGTATTTTTAGAATATTTAATGGTTCTTGCTAATAACTGTCAAATAAGATGACCTTATTTGACGGTTCTTAGCTATAACAGTCAAAGAAGGTCAGATCACACCTTATTTGATGTTTCTTGCCAAGAACTGTCAAATAAGGGTGACCTTATTTGACAGTTATGGCCAAGACCTTATTTGATGGTTCTTGGTTATAATTGTCAAATAAGATGATCTTATTTAACAGTTTTTATTATTTTCTATTATACATAATTATTATTTTTATTTACTTTTTACTGTTGACATTTACTGTAATAGACAATATAATCATTAAATAATAACAAGAAGAAAATAACATTAAATAAAAATTATGTTTGTCAAAATTCAACGTCCAATAAAATACACATCAGACAAATTAAAACAAGTTAATCACTTGAGCACACTCTATGCAATAGAATATTGTGTCACAAATTTTTTGAATTCTAAAAGTAGTTCCACTAATAAAATTCCACCATCTAGAAAACCAATGCCCACGATATTCTTGTATGCCCCTATTGTAGACTGCCATAGATCACGTATTAGTACATCTAGTCACATATCCTCCAACTGCAAAATAGCAACATTGTTCTAAATCAATGGCCACTTGAATTCTCATTCTCAGTCATTCTTAGTTAACAACTGTAAGTAGAAACCAACACTGACACATGAATAAATTAGAAAACAATAATATCATTAATTTTAGAACAGATTGTAAGCAAGAAAATGTACATTGAGTGTTTTCTCTACACCATCACGTCAAGTTAGTTTTCTCTTATCCATCAATATCTCAGTCATGATCATACTTATGGAATTCATCCCTTTCAGATTACATCTAAATCTAATCAATGTATTAGCTGTCAAAAGAACATAGGGGGAAAAAAAAAAAACAAAAGAGCATCTCATCTCTGCACCCATAAATGAAAAGCTAAGACCATGATATATTAATTGAAGATTCCTTTGCAAAAACCAAAATAGATTTTTATTGAAAATATTATTGATTAAACATAATTAAGGCATAACACAACAATTAGAATAAACAATTGAATGTGCAAGCCTGAAGAAAATAAACCAAAACCAATTTACATATCCCTTGCACACAAACCTATTGGAAAATATTCATGACAATTTCATGTTTAAGCAATAAGAACTCTTCCTATAATAGATATCCAATTATTCTCCAAAGGAGAAAAATAGTTCATATTAGAACAAGAATTTAGGTACCTTAAACACTTTCCTATTATCAGCAAATGAAGAGGAGCATGGAGGATATCTTATACAGTGAAAAAGGAGGATGGGGAAGCGTCCACGTGGCTGCGCGGAAGGAGGAGGGCTGAACAGAGGAGCATGGACGGTTCAAGAGGACAAGTTACTGACTTCTTACATTGAGACACACGGCCAAGCCAAATGGACACGCATCCCTAAGGAGCTGGTAATTAACTTTGGTTCTTAATTCTCCTCTGTGCTTGGCCGGGCATGCATGACCCTTTATAATTCTAAATACAGGCTTGAATGGGAGTGCCAAAAGCTGTAGGCTCAGATGGTTAACTATCTCGGGCCTGATATTAAAAGAGGCGGCATTACACAAGATGAAGAAGAACTCATCATTAGGCTTCATAAGCTTCTTGGTAACAGGTTATTATATTCATTCCCTCCCCTCATTGTTCCTAATAATTTAGTCTCGCACTATTTCTCCTTCAATAATTCATAGTTTATCTTGCTTTTGCTGGTCTTTTTAATGTCAGTCTATCTCAGGTGGTCTCTCATAGCTGGAAGGCTACCTGGCCGAGCAGACAATGAAATCAAGAACTACTGGAACACCACTTTGGCCAAAAAGCTCAGAACACAGGCATGTTCAATATCTGAACAACATGGAACAATGAGATCAGCAGTAAACAATAAACCTGATGTACCAATCTATGAGGTATCAAAGCAAAACATAGAGATGATTTAACATATATTTAATCACTCAAAGAGCATCTGAAATCATCCATGATGATGCAAGACCCTGAATTAACAATGTGTAAACATGTGCATTGGGCTAGCCTCGGGACTTAGATTCTCACATTGAAATGTAAAAGCAGAAGAACATTCAAAACTTGAATTCAAATCCAGAAAAATTTAATGAGCAAAAATTTGCTGACACTAATTATCAGCATATTAATACTTAATTATTTTGATTACCAATTAATTAATGTATCCAAATTTTAAAACAATTTCTTTGTCATTGCTTACTACGTGGGAAACAGAATTATGCAAAAAATGAAGGAGCAGACGAAGAAGAGATTAACATTCAAATTGAAATGAGTGTCAAATCAGCAAAAGTAATTATCCAGCTTTTATTTCATTCTGCCCATCTCCGTCATTAATGTACCTTTAATTCTCTTCCCCTAATTTTCGCCTAAAAACAGTGACCCAAACTCATGAGCTAATCTTTCTGGAACACATCGGTTTCCTTCTTTCCCTTTATAGTTTTTGTTTTTTGATAAATGCCAGAGATACGTAACCATAATTTAAACTCTGCGATTATTTCACAGTGTTGAATAGAAATTAACCAAGCAATGAAAGTGGAAGTATATACAAACATGTTTGTGTGGTATAAAATTCAAAGAAAATCCGATTCTTTATTTGAAATCCCATTCAAAACCAAAGTCCATAGTGGTATAAAATTCAAAGAAAATCCCATTACTCAAGGAAGGGATGTGAAACACTTACCAAAAGAAGTGCAACTGCGATTGTTTGATTTTTGAACACGCTGAATTTGAGCTCCAACTCCAAGCGCAACTGTGACAGGGATGAGCTTGAAGAAGAAAAGTGGAAGAAGGAGGCGAGTGAATCACTTTGCTAGGGCTCACAAGTTCAAAACAAAAATGGGAAAGGAAAGAGAATCGGTGCAGTGAATCACTTTGTCGGTTGAGATAGAACCTAATTATAATGAGCGACAATGTTGCCCAAGTTTCACCATGGCAAGAGGCAAAACAAGAGAGATTAAAACCCCTCAATAAACTCTAACATGAGACAAAAGACTGAATCAAAGATAAAAAATGAGGAGAATAGAAACCTAAGATGTTAGTGAGAGCATCACCTAGGCTTCTCCCTTCTCTCTGGTGTTGTACCCTAGGGCTCTACACTCTTTGAAATCGCCTCCCACACACTTCCACAATGAACACCGAGCAAGCATCAAACAAACTAGAGATTGTATTAGAAGCATGCAAGAACAGAGAGCGAAGCCAAGTGGTGACGAAGAAAGAAGTAGAGGAAGGGGGTGATCGTAGGGACGAGTCGATGGAGCTCCAGATAAAAACCTAAGCCGTGCCACTGGAAAAAGAGCAGGAGTTTCGACGATTTAAGAATAAGAAGTGTTAAATATAAACTAAAAATTGATATATTTATTTTAGGGTTATTAGCTCTAACCGTCAAATAATTGTTTTAAAAAAGTATCCTAACAGATATTTTACACTTCTATATTTAACTGCCAAATATGTATATATAATATTTGACGGTTCTAATGAATAACCGTCAAATAAGTGTTTTTGGACTTCCGCCTCATCTTATTTAAGGTTTTTTTTTAATAACTGTCAAGTATTAAACGTCATTTATAACAAAATCTGTAGTAGTGTTTTCATATGTCATATAGTCAGTCATTTTGGTTTGATTTGGACTTTGACTTCAGGGATCAAAGACATTGTTCTAAGAATAAAAAATCTTTAGACCGATCAAAATGAAATCAAATTCTATGAAATAGTTTCAAATTTCAAAGGCAAAAACCAAAATGAGGTTAAATTTCAGGGACAAAAGAAATCTTACAATTTTTTCAAATTTTTTGCCCAATAATTTAGGCACCAATCCGCCAGATCCAAAATAACACAAGAAGACTTTGAAGCTCAGGCTCATGGAGGTATACAGGACTTGGACACGTACGCACATATATATAAATGGAACAAAGTGGAAGTGACAAAGTGCAGAGATTCCACAGATCAGTAGCAAGAAGCTAATAATAATGGCTAGAGAGAGAACTAGAGAGAGAATATAATGGCTAGAGCTGGGGAAGCAACTACCAACGTATAAACTCCTAGATGGGCTATAGCTGTCGTTTACGCTGTCATCGTCGCCGTTTCATTTGCTGCCGGACGTCTTCTCTCTTGCTGGGGAAACAGCCTCGAGAGGGGTAAAAAGACGGCAAAGACGGCCCTCTACGAAGCTCTTCAGAAGATCAAAGAAGGTTCTGTAATGAATCAGCTCCCTACTTTTTCTTCTAATAATAAATAGTAAATAATAATTTACATTATAAAGTACTCTTCTGAAAAACTCTCAATTAAGTAATTATATTTATTTTAAATTCCGCATGTATTAAAATATTTTTTAAAAAATAAAATTTAAAAAATTTAAATCCAGACGGTTCAAATTTTGGTACTTGTCACCCCTGATAAGCACCAAAATCGCAAACTCGTTTATTCAATACTACCCATTGGTGAGTTTTCAATAGGCAAAAGTGCATATGTTTGGGTTTAATTCCTCAATTTCATAAATTATTTTTTTAGTTCTTTAATCCTAATATTCTTAGTTTCAAATGATTTTTCATATAACATTTTTTTTATTTCTGAGAATTAAAAATTAATGTTAGTATTTAAGAATGTTTTGTCAATATTTAAAATTTTATAAAACTTTTTTATTATAAACGGCGGTAAATAATAATTTGTACTATAAAGTAGATTTTATATTAAATTTTTTTTTTTCATTTTTTTCCCTGTTCCCTCCACTACCAGTAGATGTGCGTTTTTTGCTTCTGATTTTCCTATGTTGGCTTCTCAGAGCTGATGCTGCTGGGTTTTACATCCCTGCTTTTGACGGTTTTGGAGAAAAGGATAGGCTAAAATATATATAACTCCTCTCAACTGTAACCCAGTTGGACATCACTTCCCTCATCTTTAAAAGTTTAAAAATCAAACCATCAACTTCCAGACCTTCACCATCAAATCCCTGCCGTTAAAATGATCATTAAATTTAATGGAATATAAATTTAAAATTACTCGGCAAATGCATGTAATTTTTTTCTATATTTTATTTATTTGTTCCAAATTGAAATTCAGAATTTACTAAAAGGAGAATGTTGTAATCCTACATTCCTGCCCATAATAATCCCTAATTGCCATCATCTTGGTTCTCTCCATCCTCTGACTCTCAGTCTGGTTCCCAAAGACAACTTGCCTCTTTCCCTTGACTTATTTTCGCTTCTCAAACTTAATTTTGTCTCACCTTAGATGATGTATCATTGCCACTGTATTGTTTCTCGTCTTTCATCTCTCAAAAAAGAGAAGAAAACCTTGGCAGTGAAAACCTTGAACTTGCACCACAAGATCATGTCCGTTCAAAACCACCTGCCATTCTTTTCTGAGTCTTATTACGTTAATTCAGAATCAAATTATCTGAAATTATTTGAGTCGAGCACAGTTGCTTGAAATTCCCACTAGAATATACCAGTAGCATTGAAAGTTCAACACTTAAAAAAAAAAAAAAAGAAGAGAGACATAAGGAAGAATTGTCGACTGTGATTGAGATGGGAAGCATAAGAATAAAATTTAGAAGACAGACGAAGCAGGACGATAGTGTTGTGCAAGGCCAGGAGAATTAGCAATTAGGGATTGTAAATAATAGAATTGCAAAATTGTCCTTTTAGCGATATTTTAAATTTCTATTTAGAATAAATCAATAAAACATAGAAAACAAGAAATTTTAAATAATCTGATGTGGCTTATATTTCATTAATTTTAACCGTTCATTTTAACGGCAAGGGTTTGATGAACAATATCTGAAAGTTAAAGGTGTGATTTTTAAACTTTTCAAGATGAGAGAGGTTACATGCAACTGGGTTAAAGTTAAAGGCAGTAATATGTATTTTGGCCAAAAGGATATTAAAGATCTGCGTTCCGCGGGGTTTGACCCACAATATGATGCCTTGCTGGAATTCACGACGGGCCAGCATCTGATGCCAATTCGTATATTGCGCTGCTCAGCTAACATTGCACATGACAGTCCTCAATGGAACCAGTTCAGACCATTAACTTAATTAATGATTTTTAAATTTTTTAAAAAAAGAAGTTTTTAAAGAATCGACACTTAAAAAATTAACTTTATTTTAAATTTTATGCATTAAAATATTTTTCAAATATAAAAGTAAAATTAAATTTGGACTATACACATAGATCTGGAGAGTCCAAATGTCAATACCCATCACTTTTAATCGGTTCCCTAGTGTGATATTTATTCTTATGGTGAGATTTGTATCGTTTAAATATATTTTCAACAATTAAAATTTTAAAATTTTGACTGGTGACTTTTAAATAAAAAAAATTACTTTTCTGAAAAACTCACAATTAGGCAATTATATTTATTTTAAATTATGTATACATTAAAATATTTTTTAAAAAAATAAAAGTTGAAAAATTTAAATCTAAACTGTTCAAATTTTGGTACTCATATCGCAAATTCGTTTCTTCTTCACTTGCCATTGTGAGTTTTTAATAGGCAAAAGTGCATATGTTTTGGTTTAATTGCTGAATTTTATAAATTATCTTTTTAGTTCTTTAACCCTAATATTGTTAGTCTCAAATGATTTTTCTTGTAAAATTCATTTTTATTTCTAACAATTAAAAATTAATATGTTAGCATTTAAGAATGTTTTTCAACATTTAAAATTTCATAAAGCTTTTTTTTAATTGATTTAGGGTAAAAGAATTGAAAAAATTATTTATAAAATGAAATTTTATATAAATTTAAAAGATAACTACACTGTGACAATGGTAACAGTTATTGAGGCTCTTTGAGTCAGGACATAAACCTTTCGGTTATTTGCATCGTGAATTTCCCTTTCTATATTTCTGGATTTACATGCGTCCACATTCGTGGTGAGCACCACCGAATGTGGACGCTTTCGTATATTTCTTGAACTATGATCATTTAACCGTTTTGTTATCTTTTCATTTTCTTGCAGAACAAGGTTCCATTGATATCCCTTAAGGCCATCCATGGCCTGTATATATTCATATTCACTTTTGGTATAGTCCATGTGATCAATTGCGTTCTCAGAGTTTTCATTGGACGACTCAAAGTGAGTATCTGAGACATTTTGTATTGTAACTATTAATTACTGCTCACAAGGTTGGTAAAATGAGCCAATCCCAGGTTGCGGGTTGGCCTGTAGCGGATTGAACATATGTGGGTCGGGCTGAAAAGATTAGTTTGAAAGAGGGTTGGCTAACGCTTATTTATTTATTTATTTATTTTGAAAATTTTCTTACTTTTTAATTTTTTTCTTATACAATATCCAAAAATAATAACAAATTTTTTATTTTTCTTTGAAATATTTGATTCAAAGCACCAAATAAATTATATAGGTATTTTTTTAAATTTTTTAGATAAGATATAATATATAATAATATCATTATAACAATTAAAAATTTTTAAAAATTAAAAAAAAAAAAGATGTGGGTTAGCCTGCGGGTTGGCGTGGTAACCCGCGGCGGGTTGTTGGTCTGGCAGTGCAGGTTTAAAATGCTCGTTTACTGGCGAGTTAGACCCACAGGTGCAACCCATATTACCAGCTCTACTCGTAATTTTCTTTCTTTAAGCCTTTAAAGGGTTATTTTGCAGACTTAGTACTAAGAGCTAATTTAATATTCAATTTAGTCCTAAATATAAGATCTCAATCTATTTTATCTCTTTTTTTTTTTTTTTAAGGTAGTCTTTATAATAGTTGCACATATTAAATGTTTTATCAAATAGTAGTTTTAACTAATACATATTATTAACTAGAGTATTTTAGAAAAGACAATACCTATTTATTACAAATAACAGATTTAACTAATTTTTTTAATTTAATCAAATAGTCAACTAGCTTTTTATATTAAGATGAGGGTAATACTTTTTTCCCCCAAGAATTAACACAATAATTGCCATCAGAATTTACACGCGCGCGCGCACCACAACTTGCATATTATCGCAACGTTTGATTTTTCATCTCCGTATATCAACGGTCCAGCACCGTATATACTTTCAGCCAAGAGATTCAATTCCTTATTTCAATACAGCATAAATCAAACATTGATTTTAATTACTATCTCGTCATCGTACAAGAATTCATATGAAATTAAAGATTATGAAAACCGCAAGATTAGATCAGAGGCTTACAAAAATCACCCACATCTTATAAACCAAGACCATATTTTAATTTCAGCTCCTTTAATTCCCCTGTGATGGATCAAAAACCGAAATACTCATTAAATGATAAATCATACAGATGCAGACAAATCACTAAGAAACATATTAAATTAACCTTACTCCTTGAACTCAAACTCCAGAGATTATTCAACTCCTACCTTTTCAAATATCACAATTTACGAAGTCAATTTAGAAATGAAATGAAATGTGAAATGGGTTATTAATTTAACTCGGCGGGTAAGGATTTTGGTTAACGGGTCAAGGTTTTGGGTCATTCAAAAACAAAGCCCATTTAACATTAAAGAAAAAAGAGGAGGAGGAGGAGACGGAAGTATTTTGCAGACAAGTGGGTCCTGTATGAAGCCGGCCCAAAAAAAGGGAAAAGGATAATGATGCCAAATTGCCAAATGCCAATGACAAAGGAGGACAGTATATTGACAGATAATATATGGTAACGATTTTAATTTTTTTCCCCAAAAAATTGGTGGAAAATCCCCTTTTAAAAGTTTTGTTGGCCAAAATAATCTAAATACTAATATTATAAAGTATTCATGCATAGAAAACACCCATATTCAAATTGGGGTCATTCTGATCAATAAAATTTTTAAACAGGGACTTTTTCTTGATTTTTCCTTTTGCTGTTTTGCTCAACAAATAAAAAGTAAGGTTAAAAAAAAAAAAAACACGAGTGCCATAACCTGCAGCCTTCTACCTGTCATTCTTCACCTCTTCTTCCTTTTAATGAAGCCCTGCAATATTATATACATAGAAATAAATATTATATTTTTTTTCAGAATAAACACATGCAAATCTTATACGCAATCCCAATTACAAACGTATCTCCTTGCCAATGCTTTCACATGATGGAGTGATACTTAGTTTAGTTCCTTCATTGTATACCAGATAGATTAAAGTCTTCTTCACAATATGCTTTTGGGCAAAATTGACTATAATTTCCAGGTCATCATCAGGCTCTAGATTAAGTGTTATTTTGTGCCAGTCATCATCAGTAGAAGTCGTTGCATCATCTCGCTTGTAAAAATCCATAGTACCCTTTGTGAAATTCTTTATCATGAAGCCAACAGGATATACAGATGCCATGCTATCTTGAGAAGATGAATAGATAATATAGATTACCATTCCCATCAAACGACCAACAACTCGAGGCATTTTAAATGATGCAGAAGATCCTTCACTCTCAAAACATAGCCAATCAGGATAATTATCTTGAGGAAGCTGAGAATAGTCAAACCCTCCGTCACTCCATCCCTAATCCATGAACAAGGAAAAAGAATTGAGAATAGAGGAAAAATAATAGTATAATGCTCACACTAACGAAAATCATCATGCTGATTTAATTGAAAATACATTCATGGCGGTTTCTAGAAAAATTACCTGTGAAATACTGTTTAAAAGTGCATCCATAACTTTGTTGAATCCGCCTAAATGAATAGTTAAAGAACTCAATGGCTCTAACCTTTCCATGTGAGATTTCTCTTGAAAACCAATTAACCCTTGAGTTCCACATAAATCTTGAGATGTGCTTGGTCTTGCTTCTAATACTTCAGGGCTTCTGGCAAATAAAGGATGTGATAGACCCTTGATTAAAGATGGCATGATCCTAAATGCTCGTAACAGGGACTTTGATTGAACTGTCGGTGACATCCAAGACATAACAATGGATGGAAATACATCACGCGATAATCCTTCGTAGCCACATACTGACACATATTTAATACTTTTCATTCTCACTAATGAGGAGGGAACTTGTGTAATAGAAGTTCGATTTGCCACCAAAGTCGTCAAGGATTCCATTTGCCCAATGTTTTCTTTCAACTTTTCAATCTTTGAACAACCCGAAAGATTGAGAGTTTTCAAAGATTTCAAGTTATATATACCTCTTGGGAGATGATTGAGATCTTTGCAGTCCTTTAAATTTAACAGAACAATATATTTAAGATCTCCAATGGAGGGGTGAATCGAAGACACAAGCGGACAATCTTTCAGTATTAGCTTTTCAAGATATGGTAACTTTGAAAAGTTAGGTGTCTTTGTCAAATGATGACAATGACTCAAATTGAGAATTTTCAGCCACTCTAGCCTCTGCACCAAGAGAACATTTTAAAATAAATAAACACAATGAATGGAAAGAATAAAATATATGGAAATAAATTAACACGACAATTGGTACATGTGTTTAATTTGAAAATTTCATTGTGACATTGTAAATACCTGGCTTTTCTCCCATACTTTTGCGAGATTACTCCACTTTAAGTCTATGGCAACTATCTTTTCGAGACTTAAATTTGTTGGCAAGTTTTCTAAGGGAAATCCATGCCAGCACAGCCACCTTAAGTCCTTTGATAAATAATCAAAGTCTCCAACAAGTTGTACATGATCAAGTTGGAGCAAACGAAGCTTCTTCATGTTCTCAAATGCTTTGGCACCCAATGATCTTGAACTATTTGCTGACATGTTTAAAGCCAATCCCTTAATCGCTATTGTTCCCTATTAAAGTAGAAATAACGGGAAATAAAAATAAATGATATTTCAGTTACTGAAACATTACAAATATAATAAACAAGCGATACGATAAATGTTTGAACACGCAACAGTTAACTAAAATATGGGATTGCAAAACTGGTAATGAAAAAGCAACATAAATTAAATAAGTATAAGTCATTCAGAGACATTCTCACCGTGCAATTTCTTAACACATCTAGAACATCATCATGAGACCATAATCTGCTCCGCTTCTCAGGATCCTCTGGTGATTGCTCACGAATGATGTGTCTTCCCATATCACGTAGTAAGTCATGCATGTCGAGCTTGTTTTTCTTGCCAACTTTT